CTCTCTCTCTCTCTCTCTCTCTCTCTCTCTCTCTCTCTCTCTCTCTCACACACACACACACACACACACACACACACACACACACACACACGCACACATGCAACACCACCACCACCACCACCAGCACCACCACCACCAAAATAACAGAGATCAATAATCATTGCTCATTTGATATCTCTCAATATCAATTCCCCAATAAAAAGACACATACTAACAGAATGGATGTGAAAACAGGATTCATCCTTCTACTGCATCCAAGAAAAATACATCAACATCAAGGATAGACATTACCTCAACATTACCTCAGGGTAAAGGGTTGGGAAAAGATATACCAACCAAATGGACATACGAAGTAAGCTGGTGTAGCAATTTTGATATCTAACAAAATAAACTTCAAACCAAAACTAATCAAAAGAAGTAGAGAAGGACACTACATACTCATCAAAGGAAAAATCCACCAAGATGCCATTTAAATTCTTAACATCTATGCTCAAATACAAGAGCACTTACATTTGTAAAAGAAACACTACTACAACTTAAATCATATATTGACCCTCTCACAAACTGATAATGAGAGACTTCAATGTCCCACTCTCACCAATAGACATGCTGTCCATACAAAACCTAAACAAGGAGCTAAAAGAAATTATAAACCAGGCTGGAGAAATGCCTCAGTGGTTAAGAGCACTGACTGCTCTTTCAGAGGTCCTGAGTTCAATTCCCAGTACCCACATGGCAGCTCACAACTGTTTATAACTCAAGTTTCAGGGGACCTGAAATTTCCCATGGCAAAACACTAATGCACATTTAAAAAAAGAAATTATAAACCAAATGGACCTAACAGATATTTGCAGAACATTTCACACAAATAGAAAAGAACATACCTTCTTCTCTGCACCTCATGGAACTTTCTCTAAAATTGACCACATACTAGGACACAAAGCAAGCTCAACAGATACAAGAAAATTGAAATAACACCTAGCATTAAAGCTGGATATCAGCAACAACAGAAAGCTTACAAACTCATATAAATTGAACAACTCTCCTGAATGAAAAGTGGGTCAAGGCAGAAATAGAGAAATTAAAGACTTCCTAGAATTCAATGAAAATGAATGTACAACATACACAAACTTTGGGACACTATGAAAGCCGTGCTAAGAGGAAAGTTCATAGTACCAAATGCCTCCATGAAATAGCTGAAGAAATTTCATATTAGCAACTTAACAGTACACCTGAAACTCTAGAACAAGAGCAACAAAAAAGTAATCATACCGAAGTGAAGGAGACCCAGTAAGAAATAATCATACTCAGGGCTGAAATCAATAAAATAGAAACAAAGAGAACAATACAAAAAAATCAATGAAGTAAAGAGGTGGTTCTTTGAGAAAATCAGTAATATTGGCAAAGCCTTATGCAAATTAATAAAATAGAGGGAGGGAATATACAAATTGACAAAAATCAGAAACAAAAAGAGGGGCATAACCACAGACACTAAGGAAATTCAGAGGACCACAAGGGCATACTTTTAAAACCTATACTCCTGGGGCTAGAGAGATAGCTCAGGGGTTGAGAGCACTGGCTGCTCTTCCAGAGGACCCAGGTTCAATTCCCAGCACCCACGTGGCAGCTCACAGCTGTCTGTAACTCCAGTTCCAGGGGACTTGACACCCTCACACAGATATACATGCAGGCAAAACACCATTGCACATAAAAATCAATGAATCTTAAAAAAAAAAATTGTACTCTGCCCAATTGGAAAATCTAAAAGAAATGGATACTTTTCTTAATAGGTACCACTTACCAAAGTTAAATCTAGATAAGCAATTTAAACAAACTTGTAATCCCTAGTGAAATAGAAGCAGTCATTCAAAGTCTCTCAACCAGAAACCACGCAGGACCAGATGGTTTTAGCCCAAAATTCTACCAGACTTTCAAAGAAGAGTTAATGCCAATACTCCTCAAATTATTCCACATAATAGAAACATAAGGGACATTGTCCAATTCATTTTATGAGCCACAGTCACCCAAACTACATAAAGACCCAACAAAGAAAGAGAATTACAGACCAATTTCTCTTATAAAAATAAATGCAAAAATTCTCAATAAAATACTTGCAAACAGAATCCAAGAAGACGTAAAAAAGATCATCCACCACGATCAAGTAGGCTTCATTCCAGAGATGCAGGGATTGTTTATACGGTGGATTGTTTACTGATTTACATATCGACATATCAATAAACAATCCACCATATAAACAAACTGAAAAACAAAAACCACATGTTCATCTCACTAGATGAAGAAAAAGCCTTTGACAAAATCCAACCCCCCCTTTGTAATAAAAATTGTGGAGAGATTAGGGATACAGGGGACATACCTCAACATAATAAAGGCAGTTTACAGCAAGCCTATAGCCAACATCAACTTAAATGAGAAGAGAAACTCAAAAAGCAATTCTACTAACAACAGGAACAAGACAAGGTTGTCCACTCTCCATAACTACTCAAGATAGCCCTTGAAGTCTTAGAAAGAGCAATATGACAACTGAAGGCAATCAAGGTGAGGTACAGATTGGAAAGGAAGTAGTCAAATTATCTTTACTTGCAGATGATATGATAGTATACATAAATGACCCTAAAGATGCCATTGGAAAGCTCCTATAGCTGATAAAATTTTTCAGCAAAGTACTTGAGTACAAAATTAACTTACAAAAAACAGTAGCCCTCCTATATATGCAGATGACAAATAGACTGAGAAAGAAATCAGGGAAACAACACCTTTCACAATAGCCTCAAATAATATAAAATATCTTGTGGTAACTTGCTGTGAGATATCTTTCTGTATGCTGTGAATATGTGTTGTTCTGATTGGTTGATAAATAAAACTACATTGGCCTATGGCATGGCAGGATGGATCCAGGAGGGAAATCCAAGAGAGATAGTAGGAGGAGAAAGGAGAGAAAGGAGATGCTACAAGCTGCCAGCAGGAGAAGCAAGATGTGAAAATACCAGTAAGCCATGGCCACATGGTAACTTATAGATTAATAGAAATGGGTTAATTTAAGATATAAAAGCTAGCTATCAAGAACCTGAGCCATTAGGCCATATAGTTTGAAAATAATATAAGCCTCTGTGTGTTTATTTGGGACCAAGCGACTGCAGGATAGAGGTGGGAGAGATTTGTCCCAAACACAGGGCCCAGGCAGGACTAGAGAAACCTTCCAGCTACATTTGGCACCCAATGTGTTGGCTCAAATTTCCACCAAAAACCTCAGAATGCTTAAAAAGATTCTGGGGGCTGGAGAGATGGCTCAGAGGTTAAGAGCACTGGCTGTTCTTCCAGAGGTCCTGAGTTCAATTCCCAGCAACCACATGGTGGCTCACAACCATCTGTAATGAGATCTGGCTCCCTCTTCTGGCTTACAGGGATACATGCAGACAGAACACTGTATACATAATAAATAAATAAATCTTTAAAAAAAAAAAAGATTCTGAAACAGAGCTAAAAACAGTTTCCTAAATGTGTTTCTCAGGCAAGCCATGAGCTACACTGTGGGGGATTTGCAGCCTGTAGGTTTGAGCTACAGCATGGCAGATTCCTGCAGCAGTATACAGTGGTGTCTTCAAGTCACACAGTGCTGCATGGTGGATTTAGCTTTTGCTAGTACAGGGAAAAAAAGGTTTCCAGACAACATGCTGCTTCTTGGAGACATAGACACAATACTTCCTGGAGTTAGCAGTAGGCATACTTCCACCATGTTGGAAAGCTGAGGTGGGCGGAGTCAGCAGCCAAGGCTACTGTGTTGATCCTAGCCACACAGTTTAGCAGTTTAAAAATTTCTCCTTGTCAGAGGAGGATTATAGATACACAATAAACCGATTCAGATGGAGTAAACCTCTAAATAGTTTATATTATATGTAAAAATGTATATAAGCGGCCGGGCAGTGGTGGTGCATGCCTTTAATCCCAGCACTTGGGAGGCAGAGGTAGGCGGAT